TGATTGGCTAATATCACATGCTGGCGGGGTTTAACCAAAAATCCGATCATCCAATCAACAGATTTTTAACCATGCTACTTGCCATTTGGTGAAAGTAATAGTTTTGTTATTTTCTTGATATTGTGTGGCTTAGTTGGTTTAGAATCTATTTCAATTTTTTCTTCATCTTCGTACTTTGACGTTTGTGATGATTCACTTTCGTTAATCATCATTGTCGAAAAAAAAACGCTTCATACGTGATTGAATTCTTTAAGTATGTTATTTTGCATGTAGTGTTTACATTGGCTTAATTAAATGACTATTACAACTAAACTGAGGCTTATTAATTTAGAAAAATTACAAATAAAAACATAATTTTTAGGCTTTATATGTAATGATCGACATTCAGACTCAGTATGCTTTACATAAATTATGAAGATTCCCATATATAATTGCTTATATAAATCCAGTTTATTTACTTAGAACACACAGACATACTATGGCTTTATATTGTATGATCAATGCATGTACCAATCCTCGACGACAAAATCGGTTATATTTTGTTAGTTGGCTTTGCTATACATCAGAACTATATTCTACATTTAACACGGCCAAAAAAGAAAGCTGAGCATGCAATAAATTTGTCATGATGTAAATAATGTACGAGCAATTACAGAATCCTAATCCCAATTATTAGTGTTGTCTTTATCATTGAAACTCTTATGTATATGTTATACTTATCCCTTCGCTATTCACCTTTTTGTAACTTAATCATTTTAAGTAAAAAAAAAGCTATTAAGCAGTTTCTGGTATCATATTGTAACATATAACAAACAGCAGCTTAATTGACGTCATGTTAGATAACTAATGAGTGCGCCAAGGGAAGACCTCAAACCGGAAATTTAAGTATGTTATTTATTATTTTCTGAACTCAGCCCTGCTCAGAGATATACCAATATATGTCAAATATTTAAATTCTCAGTTTGAGATTTCCTTTGGTGACACTCATATCGATATATTTCTGATAACACTTAATCAATTGCTCGGGTAACTTATCATCTATCATGAATGAGCATCACGAATAAGCTCCTCCGTAATCTGATCATGTTTGTTGTAAACGTTATAATCTTTGGCACAGATTTATAACCATGGTTTGATTGGTAAAAATATATTAAAATTTATATAATTTAAATTTCGTAACAAATGCCATATTTCTTTAAAAATAAGCAAAATAAGCACCCTTATTATTTGGAAAAAGGTTAAATCTAATCTACAACGCAAACCCCAACTTACTCGAGATGAAACAATTAAAAAAAAAAGACAGCACTATGGTTGATAATCTAACCTCCGAATACGCTAGCAGTATTAGATATAATATTAGGAGGAAATTAAAAGTTACAATAGTTTGAAAGATGATCACATTATGGTTTAAGAAGCAATGAAATTAGTGTTTCGGGCTAATCTATTTTTCAAAATTCAAACCATTTCACTTAGTAGGTATCAATTTCATTCCTAAGCTCAAACTAGTTTTGCAAATATATAAAAGACGAAATGCTATGATTATCAATTTATTAGCAATGTAGCAGTAACTTAAATGTTGCCACATTCATTCTTGAAACGAATCATTTTTACGTTGTAAATAATTATCTGGCATTTTTGGATTAAAGAAATTCAAATCCGATAAGCACAATTTAATCATAAACAAAACTTCCTGATACTCATTAAACATATTATTGATTTCAACTATGTGGAAATTTCGTCTATAACCTTAATCCTAGTATCTTCATCTCTTGGCATACTATATTTCCAATAATATAATCTCTGACACTGCCTTGCACTTCTAGTTCCAACATCCTCACTGATCTTTCTCCATAAATCCATCCATTCTTCAATTTCACACATAGACCATTGTTCAGCATGTTTTTCTAACGCAACTTCAAACTTCATAATTTCATCATCAGTCCAAACACCAGCATTAACTTGTTTTTTTCTATCATGATTCTCAATAGCAGAATTATTACGAATTTTGTGAGTATCATTAACATTACCACCTATACCATATTGTTTCCAATTATGTTTAACTTCTTCAAGAGTTCTATCAGGAAATTTTTCACCAAATATATTCATAATTAAATTCCATTTATTATCAGAAATTTTTATTTTTTTTTCATTTCCAAAGTCAACATTCATGATTTTTTTAATCGAATAATGTAAATGAGAATTTTCTTCAGGTGACCAAGTTTTACTTGTTATCCACATATATCGATATGAAATATTATAATATGGTCTACCTAAAATTTCGGAAAGTTTATGCCAATCTTTTCCATGAGTTTTTATTAATCTTAAAAGAAGATCATCTTCTTGTTGTGTCCATCTTATACGTGGTTTCTTTGGTTTTGAAATATTATTTGGATGCTTTTTTGAATTTGAATTTGGAGGTACCCAACGACCTGATGATGATCTTGTTAATGTGTTGGTTAGAGTTGTTAAGCGAAACCTAGAGGTTTCACCACTGGCGAAAGGCGAAACTGTTTTCGACTTTCGGCAAAAAAAAATTAAAAAGTCGAAATGGCGAAACTGACGAAAGGTGGTGAAAGATGGTGAAAGGTGACGAAATTGGCGAAAGGTGACGAAACTAGTAAAAGCGGTAAAACTTGTTAAAATTAATAATAAAAAGTTGAAGATCTTTCATTTAATCATCGACTTTTCTATTCTTACTTGTTCAGCTTTAAATTATCATATAAATATCACGTATGTACATACCTGATATCACACATCACTTGTGAATTTGCAACAATGCGCAATCAGATTGTTAATTGCTTCATTAGTTATATTTCACGAGTTAAATGCAATACAAATAATTTTTATGCTTACCTATGAATCAACTAGATCATCTAATAGAAATCCAACCAATTTTATCTGATGAATGTTTTTTCAATACAGGATTAGAAAAACTAGTGTGATTTCAGTATTAATATAAAATAAAATAATAGTTCTAACCAATATTTATATTAAAATAATATTAACTGTATATAAGGCCGCTTGCAGTTTTTAATAACATCAATATATATTTTTTAATTTTATTTTTTTCTAATCGAATTTTTTACTGAACAGATGGATTGATAATCAAAAACTGTAGCGAAATACTAAGTGAAAAAGTAAAATGAGCCACTTACTATTTATGCTTGTATAAATTGCACGAATGTGGACCAATTAACGTTAAAACTTGATCAGTCGACTAATTAATAAAACCACTAACAGAAGTAATTAGAGATGTAACTCGCAGGGACCGATCTTCGCAGAACGATAACACTGAGATGTGAGGAATCCCTAAGGTAAAAAAAGTAAGTGGTGATCATTTATACAAGCTTGAAGCTTGTACAAACACGAATTTAGGTCACACTAATACAGGAGACGATGATTTGCTGTGTTTCACAGAACACTGCAGAATTTTTCTTAAACGCAGAAATCACTTTTGGTTATCGCAGAACATCACAGAATTCTAAAATATTGCAACATTAATCATAAATTTAGATAATTTAATGGATATATTTCATGAATAACTAATCTATTTTATACTATCTTTAATTAAATCCTACAGCTTGCAGCATTCGTTTAAGCACAGAATTATCGAAATTGAGTCGTTCATTCTCGATTTATAGAATGCATGATGGAAGCAATTATTTCCAGATCTTTCTGTAAAAATAACCATTGTTGTGTTTCAATTGTTAATTAATCATCATATTTGTCTACTAATCAATATTCACTGATACACATTGTTAGCAGAGGATCAAAAAAAAAAGTATTTTGAAAATGATTTATCCTAATTTTAAATCATATCAGTTTTTTTGTAACGGTAAGCATATATACATATTAAAATATTATGTGATAACTCTAACGATCTATATTTGATCTATTGATATATTACAGTATTATAAATCAACATGGCAATTATTTTCTCGAAAATTAAAAATTAAAGCATCAATATATGACAATTGCGTGACCAGATCTGAGCATTTAAGAATGTACGTACAGTATGTACATATTATGTGCATACTTAACGATTCATAAACAACTATGCAAATTGACAGTCAATTCTAATTAAATTTTATGAATCTATAGAATATATATATTTTTTACTAGATTTCGCTATGTTCTTGTCGAGCAACTTAAAGTTCAAAAATTTATTTAAAAAAAAAATTTAAATCACAGATGATCGTTAGTAGATTTTTCAGATATAGAATCAAGAGTCAAAAAAGATATTAAATAATCGAGGAAGAAATGATAAGACGATAATTTAAACTATTTTTGACGAATATTACAGAAGAAAAGATTAAAAATAAACATAAAAACATTGAGAAAACGGTTGCATGCTTTAAGGAAATGTCTTGGAAAATAATTAATTATTGTTATTACCGTAATTGCAAAATTTTTATGTCAAAGAACTCACATATAATTTGATTGATAAAATTCATATCATTCTATCTGATATAAGATTATAAAAAAAAAAGATTCTATACTTAAACGGAGATACGCTAAAACCTTGTAATAATTACTGGATTTTTATTATACGACTAATAATAATAAGACTACGATGCTTTAGTCACCTTAATAAATGGTATATATTTAGTGTCATCAAATAAACATTTTCATGAATTGATTTAACGTTTATAATATGTTATATGCTATATTGAATATCAATGATCAATGTTATATAAAAAAAAAATACGATAGCGATAAAGATTACTAAACAAATTTGATTAATAAAAAGATTTTGAATATCCGCGCTATCGGATGTTAGACTAAACATCACACATATATGATTTTTTTACAAGATGTCGTTGAAGTGTCTTGGTAAATTAGCATTTGGCATCAATAATAATATTCGTTGTTTCGGACAGCACTTGTATTGTTATTTTATGAAGTCAATATCGTTAAATTGTAATAAAGCTTTTAATTATTAGCATAAAAATACATAAAAAACAATTTTATTAACATTTAATAATTGAAATACATCATCACCAAAAATTACTTTGACTAATAATGCTAAATTACAAGAACACTAATTCTAAAGTAAACAAATACTATATAAAAAATATATAGTAAAAGAGAACGAAAAAAAGCATCTCATAATACGACGGTAATCTATTGTATACTAAAAAAAAGAAAAATAATTAATAAATTTCAAATAATAGTCAAGTACGTCAAGTATAATGCCGCCTTTAGTACACGG